CATAATATTTACTTTAAACACAATATTATATTAAGTCTACTGAACCTTTTGTAGATCTGCTCTGCATTGTAACCAATGTGTTTGAAGGTCTCCTTTCTCATCATAAGATACAATCTTTTTGTTTTGGGCTGTGGATTCACTTTAATAAGTATGACATTATGAGTAATGTCATAATTATTTCATATAATTTAGATGGAAATTAGGACCTCACATTCTGGCTGTCGTGGTTTGTTCTTCTCAGTTTGAGTTCTCTGGATTTTCTTAGTGTGCCATGTTGTCTCTTTCAAGGTCATTTCTGTGTTTTTATTGAATTCACACTACCAGCCCCATTTCCACTGTACAAGTATAGGGCCAAATTGTCTTCAGATGCAAGTGGGTGTGTTGTGGGGTAAGATCCTACCCCAGTCAGAAAGGAATTAAAGAGCTGCTGTCAGTACAGCCAATCCTAGCTGGGTACGCCTGTGAGGCCCATCAAACATGGAGAGAGGCAGCTCCTCAAAGGGAGGATATAAGCCATAGGCACCAACTCCATTGCTGCTGCAGGACTGGAGCATCTATAGAAAAAACCCCAGCTGTATGGCAGTAGTTGGGAAACTCTGGGTGGCAGAGGCAGGAAGAGGAAGAGCAACGGTAGGGTGTGCTCAGGTGGGGGGGTGGAAAGGGGCAAGAAGTGGCAGAGTAAAGGCAGGGCATTGGGAGAAGGGACGGAGCAGGGACAATGCCTCAGGTACAGCAGAAGTGGAACACCCACCTGAACAAAGAAAGTTGGCACTTAAGATCCAAGCCCAATGCAGTATGGCACTCAGAGGAAAGCTGGAACCACCAGTTGTAGGTAATTGGGCATGTTCTCAGTGGACAAAACAAGGAGCAATGGTCTCAAATTGCAGTAGAGAACATCTAGGTTGGATATTAAGAAAAAACTATTTCACTAGGAGGGTGGTGAAGCACTAGAATGGGTTACCTAAGGAGGTGCTGGAAGCTCCATTCTTAGAAGATTTTAAGCCCAGATTTAGCAAAGCCCTGGCTAGGATAATTTAGTTGGGGTTGGTCCTGCTTCAGGTAGGGATGTAAAATCCCATTTAATTGGTAAAACAGTTAAATGTAATGCTAACACTATGTTTAACCATTTAACTGAGTTAAAGATGGGTAGGCAAGAGGCCATTCCAGTGGTTGGAGTGGACTCCCTACCCACTGGGGTCAACTAGAGTGGTCCCTGCTGCAGGAGGATGCACAGAGGATTCTGTTACAGACTGGCAATGATGTGTTGAGCCTGTTACATAAAGGTCATCCATTTTAATTCAGCTGAGGGTGAGAGTTCTCAGAAGATACTACCATTAGTTTCCAATGTGAAATGAACTGGGATCTCTGTTCTGTTCTTCATGGACAAATGCCCATCTAACAATCACCAGCCAGACTGGGCACTTTTGGGCTCATTTTTTGGTAAGCTCAGTGGAGAGACCAAAGATTAAATAGAAATTGAACAAAACTAAATTGATCCCTTAAATTTGCAGTGCCACTGTGCATGCTGTACCTGGATTTTATTGTCTAAAAGGATTCTGTTTTCCTGAGCTGTAAACTCAATACTTTTTACAACAGCTACATTTACTTTGGGTCAAATTTTGCAGTTTCTTCATTTGGCCAAAACTCTTAACGATGTCAGTAGGAACTTTGCCTAAGTCACATCACAAAATTTGACAGGGAATGTGCAGACAAGCCTTACTTACAGGCTCAAAAGCTAAGTTATATTGAACCCAGGAAACGTGATGTTATAATGGATAATTTTTACAAATAAATGCAGCACAGATTTTTTTTTAAACTATGCAGTCACCTTTATTAAATTGATTAGTCAGAACATGATGCTTGCTATTCTTCCATCAAGACTGACTTAGAATTCTTTTTGTTTCAAATAAAACAAACACACTGCCAGCAAAGATTATTTAGGTATCTTGTTTTCCATTATCCGACCATCATTGATTATTTAAAACAAAAAATAAGGCTAATACTCTCAGCCAACATGTACTTGGAACATATTTTGGTAGCAGAGCCTTGGCTTGACTACTAAATTCAATACAGGTGGCAGACATGGAAATCAAAGACATTTGCATCACTGCAAGGTTGTTTTTACAGAAGGACCTTGCTCATTACTGATGTGTTCTTTTGATGAAAGGCGTGTACAAGGATATATGTAGATGCTGTTTGTCTTTACCCCTGACTTGGATTCAGAGGAAAGTACAAAATAAGGAAATACCTTATTATGAAAGCTGTCCTAAGTTTGAGATGGGAAGATCTATACAACACATTTCAAACATAAACTATGAAGTGTTGCTGGATATTGAATCTTTATAACAATTATGGTGACATCAGTAGCACCCTCAGGCTATGTCTATACTGGCAGCTTCTTGCGCCAGAAATATGCAAATGAGGCTAAGCGTGGAATATCGCAGAGCCTCATTTGCATACCTAATGAGCTGCCATTTTTGCAGAAGAGGCTCTTCTGCCAGAAGGAGCATCTACAATTTCCCTTCTTGCGCAAGAAAAACCCTCTTGCGCAATGCCGCTATGCTGATTATTTTCAGGAATAATGGCATTGCGCAAGAGGGTTTTTCTGGTGCAAGAGGAGGAAGTGTAGACAGCTCCTTCTGGCGCAAGAACCTCTTCTGCAAAAATGGCAGCTTATTAGGTATGCAAATGAGGCTCAGCGATATTCCATGCTTAGCCTCATTTGCATATTTCTGCCACAAGAAGCCGCCAGTGTAGACATAGCCCCAGAGTTACAGCTGAACTGCTTTATTCCATCACAAAATCCCGCTGTGGGGAGTTCAGTATTTTAGCTGTTTAATATTTGTTGGCTAAAATGTGGCATCTGGAGGCCAAATCTTGGCTCCAGTGACGTCAATGAATGAGAGTTTTTCCATTGATACTAGAATTTAGCCTTTGGATAGTACCCATATTGCTAAACACCTAAGGGGTTAGCAGTCAGAGACATTGCACAGCTCACAAAGGGATAGCTGTAAGTAGCCAATGAACTGTTCCTGTAGTAGAGGACTGTGTGAAGCTACATAGGTACTCCTCCGTGTATAAAGCCAACAGCTAGAGGGAAGAGGAGACATTTCAGGAGCAGGGCACAATTCCATTCCTCCAGTGTAAGTTAGAGCACTGTGACACAGAGCTATTGGTATCAGTTGGCAAAGCGTCCCCTGTTCTTTTCAAGCAACTCCTGTCTCAGAGACGACAAACACACAACACCTAATACACCACTTGCATGGTATTTATCCATACAAAACGGTGTATAGCTTAACGTTGCAAGATGTATGGGTAATACTGAAGGAATAATGTAACTGTACTAAAATTTTGCTTTATGGATTTTGGAGTAAAAGTCACCAGGAAAACAGATGTTGGTCCTTTCGAGTGGGAGGGAGTAGTCACCTCTCCCTGGCTAGCCTCACCCCATCTCTGACCAGTCAGTGGAAAACCATAAAACATAAGAACATAAGTGCATAGTCAACCTGTGGAACTCCTTGCCAGAGGAGGCTGTGAAGGCTAGAACTATAACAGAGTTTAAAGAGACGCTAGATAAATTAATGGAGGTTGGGTCCATAAAAGGCTATTAGCCAGGGGGTAGAATGGTGTCCCTGGCCTCTGTTTGTCAGAGGCTGGAGATGGATGGCACGAGACAAATCACTTGATCATTGTCTTCGGTCCACCCCTTGTGGGGCACCTGGTGTTGGCTACTGTTGGCAGACAGGCTACTGGGCTAGATGGACCTTTGGTCTGACCCAGTACGGCCGTTCTTATGTTTTCTTCTTAGAAAAGACAACTGCAAACAACGGATATCATTTAGCAGATTACCCTGGGTGTGAATAAAGACAGTGATTCAGCATGTCTCCGGGTGGAGAAAGACCCTTTGCATCTATTCATGGAGGAGATAGCTTGTTGAGAAGGGGTAAGGGTCTCATGAAAGGCTTGATCCTGGTTCCTGGGAAACTAGTCAGTTTTGCAACAGCCTAAACTTTAGGAGTGGTGAAAACCAATTTATTAGCTAGAAAAGGTCACTAATAAGCAGTGGTGATTTAATATAAATCACTGGTAAACTGAAGTGCATTGTTCCATTGAGAGCGGGAGATGTGGGATTTCTGTGAGTAGCCAGTGTGTCGGGTTGGATATCACAGAGGAATGTTTCAAGGAGACTGGTGGACTGGGGAAGACTGATTGTTCATCTGCAAGGTAAAGACAGGACTGGCATGGCCAGGATGAGAGTGTTTGAGTGCCTGACAGGCCACTGGGGTTAGGGAGTAAACACCCAGTGGGCACGGGCAAGACTCCCTCATGCTAGAGGCAGGCAGTAACAAGATGTTTCACAGTCTGGGTACCCTGAGAACTGTCCCCTGCAGTCTCAAGTCTAATCTGACTCATGCTTTTTAGAATCAATGATCTAAATTGACTTCCTGAGAGTCCAGTACCTGACACGCCAATTTTAAATGAGCAGACTACAGGCAGTCCCCAGGTTACGTACAAGATAGGGACTGTAGGTTTGTTCTTAAGTTGAATTTGTATGTAAGTCGGAACTGGTACATATTGTAGGGGATACTCTAGCCAAACATTTCTCCAGAGCTCAGTTTTATTCTCCCACACCTCACTTCCTTCAGTCCTTTATTCTCAAGCTGAGGTGTCTGCTGAGAAAAGCCGCTCCGCATCTCCCTGGTCTGCTGGGGGGGGGGGGCGCTAGCTTCGCGTCTCCCTGGTCTGCTGGGGGGAAGCAGCTAGTGCGGGGTTGCCTCACCCTGTTTGTAAGTAGGGATCCGATGTAAGTCGGATCCATGTAATCCGGGGACTGCCTGTATTATGCAACTAGTGGACTATTTTTTTCACCCTTTACCTAAAATGTATTTTTTGCTAAAATATATCCCATGTAATGTCTGAACAGAAGAGATTGATGGAGCCATTCTTGTAGCTATCTTCCTTTGAAAATCAACAGTTTAACAAAACGCTTTCTGTTACAGATTGGCTGTGATCGTAGCCAAAACCTGGTGGACATCTGCAGAGAAAAGAAATTCCAGGCATTTGTCTGTGATGCGTTGTCTGTGCCAGTTCGAAATAGTTCTTGTGATGCCTGCATCTCTATCGCTGTAATCCATCATTTTTCAACAGCAGTAAGTCCACTCTCACATCTATAGAGCTCACAAGAGGCCACCAGCATTTCCCATGGGAAAGTGAATGGTAAAAGAGGGTCTCAAGACAGGAGAGAATCTGGGAGCATAAAGAAATGGGAGGGCAAGAAAAGAGGAGAGGTATGGGCAGGGAGGAGGAAAGCTGAGAGGATGGATATAGCCACTCCATCCATTCTGTCTCCTGCAACTCCTTCCTCTTGAGAAACTTTCAACACTTTCCCACTCCCTGGCATTAAAAGCTATGTGCCATAGCTTGATGATGTTATTATGTAGATTTAATATTTATTTATATTACTCAACTAGTAAGCTCTTTGGGGCAGTTGTACTTAGTGCTACTGGTAACAAAAATAAATTCAGTTGATGTAATCACATCTGGTAGAAAAAAGAAGTTCCCATGCAGCTTTGGCCTAACTTGCGTGCATAGTGGTTGACTAGATTATAAATGAATAATCTGCCCCTTTACTCATCATCCCCCACTATGGGGTGTATGCTCATTTCTGTTAAGATGATAATGCATAACCAAAGAGTAGGACGGGGAAAGAAAAGCTCTGTTTTGTACCTGTGGGTAGAGCAGGTAGGAATAATTTCTGTTCACTGCAGCAGTGGTATCACTATCAGTTACGTTTCTTTGTGTTCCTGCTTGTATACTAACTTCAGATGTACTCACTGAGTCTTTGCATTTGTAGGAGAGAAGACTGGCTGCTGTCCGTGAGTTAGCCCGGCTCCTAAGACCTGGCGGAAAGGCACTCATTTACGTCTGGGCAATGGAACAGGAATACAACAAACAGAAGTTAAAATTTCTTAAGGAAA